GGGTCGGGTTCGGGGTAGGTTTTGCTCGCCCCGTCCCCGAACCCGAAATGAAACCCCGTCCTCAACCCCGACCCGATCTCCGATGGATTTTTTATCGGGGCGCCCCGTCGGAGATTTTTTTGCCCCGTCCCCGAACCCGACCCGAAATATTATACTCAAACCCAAACTCGAATCCAAAAATATTTTATATATAATTAATATAAAATATATATATATATATATATATATATAATATATATATATATATATATATATCGGGGCGGGGCGGGGGATACCTTGCCCCGAACCCGACCCGAAAAAATCCCCGAAAAAAATCCCCGTTACCCGACCCGATATCATTCAAACCAACCCGACCTGAACTTGACCGGGTTTCGGGTTTCTCCGTCGGGTTCGAGTCATACTGACATCCCTACACTCATCGATAGGGATGGAAAAAACTCAACTGGACTTAAGTTGTAATTTTTTTATTTAGTTTGACTTAAATTGACTCGATTTGTAATTTTATAAATTCAACTTAAAAAATTTTATATTCAAATTATAAAATAGAACTCGAATAACTCAAATAATAATTTGAATACTTCAATTTTTTTAATAATCAATTGATTGATTTTCAAGTTGAATCGAATATTTTGACTTTGTATGATATATAAAGAAATATATAAGTATTTTACATGGTTATAAAAAAATTGTTTAAATTAGAATCAAATAGTATCATAATATATCAATAGGGGTTGGTTTAAGTGGTAAGCACTTCATTCCACTTAAGTATGTCTCGAGTTTGAATTTTTGTGAATGCATAAAATTCTCGTTGAGAGACACTTCCACCAAAGCTAGGTGTGCGACCCGGGTCGGATCGAATTAATCAAGACGAAACCTTGAAAACTGGGAGGCCAACAAAAAATAGCGTCATAATATTATAAATATTTATAGTTAAATTTAAATAGAAACTTAAACAACTCAACTCAACTAAAAACTTAAAGTTACAAAATAACACTCATCAATTCAAATTTTTTTTTAACTCTACTCACCAGTATCAAGGTTGTTTTTATGTTTAAATTTTGGGAATAACGTGTGCGAGATTTTTATCTCTTGAGAAATAGGGGTGTTTGAAAATTATTTTGAAATCTAATGTATTTATTACGATGTATGTAGGACTTGTCACGAGGGTGACGAGTTTAATAAAATACATTGAAGAATTAAAACTCGTTATCGTTTCCTCCTCATAACGGATTCTAATTTTTAATATATTTTATAAAATTCACTGCTCGACAAGTTTTACATATAACAAATAACTTAAATTACAAAATAATTCTTAATACACTCTTATTTTTCAATTTTTTTTTCCGTATACCATATTTAGCCAACGAAGCCCTTTGGGAATTGGTATCCCAAACAACAACATTTACGGCAAGGATACCTCGACACCCGTGAACGTCGTTGACATGCCTAAAAATAAGAGATGTTGAAGATATTATTCGGAAGGTAACGTCTTGACAATTAGGATTGGGATTTCAATTTTGGGGGAAAGAATCCTTAAATTTATATCTCTGTCCCATCATATTTCACGTTATTCCCAAGCATTTAAATTTCTTTTGACAAGTTTATTTTGTTGGTCTAAACAACCATGAATAGAGATGAGCACAAATTTGGGTAAATCAACTTTTCGATCATCAGGATTTTGATTCAAATATTGAAGGTTTTTATTTGATTTCGATTTGTTTTATGTTTAATAATGTCTTATTCGTATATAGACTATGTTGAATTAAGGTAATAACTTATTTTCAACTCGAATTAATATGAATATTTTTTTATTCGACAAGATAGGGAAACAGTTGAAATATAGATATACTTATTTAGGTTGGATCGGTGGTTTTTTGCTATTCTAAATTCAGCTTTTCTTTGATCTCGATTCTCATTCATAAAATTCACTCAATCCATTTTAGAAATATGATCTCATAAGATCGAATTAAAACTCATCAACTTTTGATAATTTTATCACGCGACGCGCGAATAAAAGTTAAAATAAGATTGAGTTTACACCCATCAAGTACTAGAATTTTCGTACATTTGGATTTAGTTTTATTTTTATTTTCAGAAATTTAATCGTTTTATTTTTCAATTGAAAAATAAAATGTCCAACATTAGATATGGTAACCTTTTTATAAAAAAATTATGTTCATTATAATGTTAACTTTCGTCGTATGAAAGTTAACTTATTAGTTCATTTAGGCTTAAATATATGATGTCCAATATATTCCCGTTTTTGCAGTTTAGTATTTAACGTTTTATTCGTTACAGTTTGCTGCCTAACGTTTTATTATGTTACTCAAAATAGATCCAACCGTTAAGTTTGGCCGTTAACCTATTAAAAATGTCAGCTGATATATTTTTTAGGGTAATATATATAAATAATCCCCAAACTTTAAGGAAGTTGCAATTTGGTCACCCCGTTAAACTTCTCATTCTTCGTCTTATTCTTCTGCCGTCGTTTCCCGGCGATGGCATACACTGCCACCACCAAAACGTTCCCCACCATCCCCCGACCAAAACCCTACTGGTTATTCACCGTAAACCATCGTTGATCGTTGTGGGTGGCACTTTGAAGCTCCTTCGAAAACCTAAAAATCCACCGTTGATATTCTTCAGGATTCCGACCACCGTAGGCGTATGTAGCTCGCATCGTCGCCACCAACGTGACCGTTGTCTGTCTGCAACCAAAACCCGACCATGCTCTCACTGTGAATCGTCACCGTTTGCCACAGAGAACAACTTAAAGCTTCGTCGAAAAACACTAAACCACCCCCATTGTTTTCGTGATTTTTGCGTCGATCTCGAGCTCTGTTCGCCTCATCACCACCTAGTTCCCTGCTTTGTTCCGACCAAAACCCAATTTGTATCATTCTCTCCTGTCATCTTTTCCTCCGTCCTCCGTCAAGGTAAGCTCCAATTACTTTATATTTAATTATCGAGGTGACCAAAATGTAACACCCTAAATGTTTGGGGATTATTTATATATTTTACTCTAAAAAAATATGTCGACTGGTATTTTTAATGGATTAACGACCAAACTTAACGGTCCGTCACGGCTAGACCCATTCTGAGTAACAGAATGAAACATTAGGCACAAAGTTGGATCAAAAAAAATGTTAGACACTAAACTAGAAAAACGGACATAGTCGGGCACCTTTTGTATATTTAAGCATTTCATTTTTTTTAAATTATTACATCAATTAGTTTAATAAAAAAGAACATAATCTTAACAATTGAGTTCAATTTTTTTAAATCTAAAAATTAAAAAAATTATATTCATAAAAGTAAAATAAATGACTAAATTCTAAAATATATCACTTTTTCCGTTTAGGTACCTAAAGGTTTTTTTTGTCAATTTAGGTACCTAACATTTTCAACGTTTTCATTTAAGTGATCGTAACAGATGTCATTTTTTTTATCAACCACTCAAATTGTAACACATGACATGTTATAAATTTCTAATAATTTTATTTTAAAAAATTAAAATTATTACTATTATTTTCTTTAATTGAAAACCCAAAATATTTCTAAAATTTTTATAAAAAAATCCCGAAATCCTAAATCCCAAAACATTCACTCCACTACTTGACCGTCCACAATCGCTGCCATCTCCATCGGCCGCCTGCCCACCGATTACCATCTATCTACCCATCGACTACCAACAATTATAGCTTCAAATCCCAAAATCTTAAAATCCCCACACACACATCCATCCCAATAGATGGGCGAGTGATCGATGGGAGATCGACGGGCTAATGGCTGACAATTGAGTCAATGATCACCGATGATGGTTGTGTTTTGTTTCACAATTGAAAGTCTTGGAGTATTTAAAAAATAACAAATACTGAGTTTTCTTTTTGAAAATAATATTAATTTTATTTTTAAGAAAAATTAAAGGGAATAAAAAAATCAAGCCACATGTCAAATACTGATTGATTAACTTATTTTTAACGGATTTTTAACGATCGTTACGACATGATAATGTTGGAAATATTAGGAACTTAAATTGACAAAAAAAATCCGCACCTAAATGAGAAAAATATATAATTTGCTCACTTTTTTTTATATTAAACCTTAAGATAATAAATTTTTGGGTAAAGTACATGTTTAGTATCTAAATTATTTCTTTTGTTTTGTTTTGTTTTAGTACCAAAACTTTATTTTGTTTAAAGATCATACCTAACGTTTAGTTTATGTTTCATTTATGTATCACGTCATTAAAAACTTAACAATAATATTCACGTGTCAGCATAAGTTAATAACATGTCATTATTAAAAAAATGACACGTCAGGTATGATTTAAAAAAATAAAACTTAAGTAAAAAAATAATAATAATTTAAATACCAAACGTATATTTTACCCTAAACTAAAGTAATAGGTATTACTCTTGTTAATTCATTTCCAAGTGGCATTTTTTCATTTTTTAAACGTGAGTGGTGACCGAATATATATTTCTTGTTAAAAAAAGAATAGTCCATTTCTAAAACTAAAACCCCAAAAATATTGTCTGCAAAATCAGTTGAGATTCAACGAGAGAATAGGTTCATAGATTGAGTCTCTAACCATAAGTTTTTGATTTCATCTTCTCAGAACAATCCCCAAAGAGGAATAATGGACATTGCAGCACAAGCTTCAAACAAAACACAAACACAATATCGGTTCTAAAACCCAGACAGTAGCAACAACAGACAACAATTCTACTTGTTCCCAAATCCAAGGTTTCATCTTTTTTCATTACTTGTCTTTTTTCCTGCTTTGACAACTTCAACAATTTGAAGCTTGTTAAAACTTGTAATAACAAAAACATTCATTTTACTGAGAAGTCACGTAAAGCTGAAGGAATTCAGGAATTTAAGGGGAAGTATTAACTGATCCATCTTCTCGTTCAAAATATTTAACATGTGTTATTGACATTGCTTATTTATACAAGTGATCTATTCCTTTCATTACGTGATGCGTTTACAGATGTTTTGATCTTAAAAAGGGTGCTCCTTCTTGGTTATGTTTATAGGAGGGAAAACAGTGCCAGAAAAGCCTTTTAGGGATTAATTAACGATGCACCCAAGGATGTTGGGAATGGAAGAAGGTAAAGACCATGCCTCTGTAATAAGAACAAACATCTCCAGGACATTGCCTTTGAGACTCCTCTTATTTTGTTTGTTGTTCGCGGTAATGGCGGTCGGATTATCGATCATCTGTATGTATTCCGTTCGATTCTTCATTTCCCAGCAGACAGGCACAGTGACACCATCCTCTTTACACCCGTGGTTCTACGAGGCCGATACCATAGAAAGATGGATTAGGCCTCCACCAAACTTGTGGCATTCAATCAGTGACAATGAACTACTTTGGAGAGCTTCATTTGTCCCTAAGATCAAGGAATATCCTTTTCTCAGAGTCCCCAAGATCGCCTTCATGTTCTTGACTAAGGGGCCATTGCCACTGGCTCCTCTTTGGGACAAGTTCTTCAAGGGAAATCAAAGGCATTACTCGATATATGTCCATGCATTGCCGTCTTACGTTGCCGGCTATCCGCAATCTTCTGCTTTCCATAGCAGACAAATCCCAAGCCAGGTAATTAGCAAACCAAGTTCTTTACGTTTTAGTGTACGTTGCCGTCTTATGTTGCAAGTTGTTGTCTGAGTATGCAGATGGTGGAGTGGGGAACGATGAGTATGTGCGAGGCCGAGAGGAGACTCCTTGCGAATGCATTGCTCGATATCTCCAACGAATGGTTTGTTCTCCTGTCCGAGTCCTGCATCCCTCTGTATAATTTCAGCGTGATCTACCACTACATATCGAGATCGAAATACAGCTTCATGGAATCGTACGACGATCCGGGACCTTACGGGAGAGGCCGCTACGAATCACGCATGGAACCGGAGGTCGAACTGAGCCAATGGCGCAAGGGGGCTCAATGGTTCGAAGTTAACAGGAGGCTTGCGATCAACATAATCGAGGACATCAAGTATTATCCAAAGTTCAAGGAGTTTTGCCAGCCGGCTTGTTATGTGGACGAGCATTATTTCACCACGATGTTAACCATCCAAGTACCTTGGCTCTTGGCCAACCGGACACTTACTTGGACGGACTGGTCGAGGGGTGGCGCTCATCCGGCCACATTCGGGAAGGAGGATATGTCTGAAGCATTCTTTCAGAGAATCTTTGAAGGTCAAGAGTGTGTTTATAATGGCCACCCAACAGCTGTTTGTTTTCTTTTTGCTAGGAAGTTTGCTCCGAGTGCTTTGGATCCTTTATTAGAATTGTCTTCCAAAGTATTGGGATTTTGACCCAGGTTTTAGTTCAAATGTTGGATAGGAACAAGCATCCTCCTGCACAAGAATGTTCAAATTTTTTTTTGAAAATTTTCATGAATTTGGAGATCCTTAGAGAATCACATCCTGCTAACGTTGTCCAGAAATGCATTGAATTTGTAGATATGGGTATGCAGATACTCCCATGCCAAACACATACTTTTATATGACACTCATTACCCATTCTTTTCTTTTAACACAGTTCAAACATCATGCCAAAATATCCGACACCAACATACACCCAACCATGCATCCCATATATATACACACATTCTTACATGGAATCTAAAGGCAAGGCACCACCTCGTTTACTAGAAACCAAAATCCAATTCAGTGGAATGTACACTTGATTTAACATCTCCAGGCAGCAGTTATAATTTAAGGCCTCCAATCCGTAATCATCAGCCCACTTGCTGGCAACTGGGAGGCTGCTGCTTTCACCGCTGACCACCTCGCAATTCAATGTGCCTGGGACAATGTGCTAATTCAAGGTTTTGATTAAGAATTTTTATTTTAAATCTTATTTGACATTAGATTATAATAAAATATTCCCCATCATCAAAGAGTGATCAAAATAGAAGTAATCTAAAAGTTTAATGATTAATTGAATATTTTTTTAATTTTAGTGACCAAAATAGGAGTTAGAAGATAATTGAGTGATGAACCTTTTTTTAAATTTTTAAATTTTAGTGACTAAAATAGAAGTAATCTTACATTTGTGTTGTTGGGGTATATATATCAGATTACAATAAAAAATAATAAAAGAAAAAAAGAAAATCTCAAATCCTCATATCATTGTCTTTTTTTATGCATGTGATGTCGCTCTACTACTAAAAATTGCTTCTCCGTCTGCCTCTGCCATTGCGGGGCATCCGTGTGGCTTGGAAAATGACTCATATTCATATGTTGGGGCTGTATGGGCGCATGGAGATGTCACGATACTCACCTGGATGGTTCTGGAATTCGCGCATTCATCATACGCGTGTGAGAGTCAGCTGTTGATTCTTTTGTGACATACACGTTGTTGGATTGGATCAGATCCAACGATTGGACTTCGTCGAGTATGGCGGCTTTTGATCTATTGTCCTTGGTTATGATAAAACCCTAAATTCTTTTATCTCAGGTCGTTGGATTGGATTATATCCAACGACTGTGTAATATCTCAAAATTGGGGCCAGTGACTAAAATAGAAATTTTGAAACTTTGAGGTCTGATTTAGAAAGATTTAAAAGTTCAGGGACTAAATTGGAAAATTTAGTGGATGATTGTTGGTAATTATTAAAGGAAATAAAGGGTAAAATGATTATTTGACCAGAAAGGTTTTTTTTCTTTCTTTATTTAGGCTATCACGTGGGAATGAGAGAAAGATTACTCCAGAGACTTCTCCAGCTTTCTTCTTCCCCTCCACTGTGGGTCTTGGTATAAGGTGAGATTTCTTATTAGTTGGTTTTTAGTTGAAATTAAGTTTGGTTTTTTATCATTAGACGATACTTAAGCTTAAGGAAAGCTTAAGTTATCTTAAAATTATAAGATGGAAAAGATAATAGGGATCAAAGATTATGAGTTTTTAAGTGAAATCTTGAAGAAGAGTTGATAAGTTAAATTTGAAGCTAAATTTAACTTGTCATCAGTTGAATTAAGAAATAGGAAGTGATAGAATCCAATTTAGAACATGTTGAGAAAATGGTAAGATTCTTGGTTTCCAAATTTAAGATGGAATATGGGATATTAAGTTGAGTTCAAGTGATATAAGTGGGCTAGGCTAAGTATAGTTAAGTTTGAAGGGCTAAAATGAGATTATATAAGAAGAATTAAGTGAGTTTAGTATGATTTTTGAGCTTAAAAGTGAATTATGGGCAAGGAGGTATCGGTACCCATTTAACAGGTATCGATACCCTAAGGAGGGTATCGATACCCCCTAAAGAAAAAAATGAATATTTGTTTATTAGGTTCGTTTAAGTTGTTAGTATCGAATTACAAGGTGTAGGCATCTAATAATTGCCTTAAAATGTGTAATTATGTAGATACAGAGCCTAAACGAGTTCCGGAACCATTGGCAAGTAAGATCGATCAAGGGAAAAGATAAGAGATCGATATTGACTAATGAGGCCAGGTGAGTGCATATTAGTGATGTATGATGAATGGAAACAAGACTCGCGATGAGTCTATTTCCTATGGTAGTATGCATGAAATCATGAGCATGATCATGGGTGTAAGATGAGTATATGCGATATTTGTGATTGTATGTATTGCATGATTTGTATGTGTGCATGACTATATAATGGTGATATGAACCTATAGGATAAGAACTATAGGAACTATGATATATGAGTTATAAAATGAAGAACTATAAAATCCCTATGAGAAGGATTATAGGTGTGATATGAAACTGAATTAAATAAATAGAATAAACTAGTATTTAAATATTGTGAGATAGTGATATAAGTCATATGTTATTGTAAAGGTTAGTGTAATAAATCATGTAAACTGGAAAAAAAGGAAATGAGATAAGATAAGTAGCAATTATCTATAAGATTCAAATAAGATTATATGAATATGTAGCGTAAACTATATAAGGGAGACTTAGATATTATACGATTTAAGCATGAAATGAACATAAGATATAGTCAGGTGAAATTATTATGTGATATGAGTATATGAATATGTTAGATAAGTAATATAAGAAGGTCGATATGTTAAATGAAACTATGATCTAAAGTTGTTAGATGTTTTATATGATATGAAGTATAGTACCAAAGTACTTGAAATCATATGAGGATGTTATAGGAATTAGAAATATAAATTATATGGCGTTAATGTATCAATTATAGAAAAATGAGTACATGATTTTGTAATAAATTATAGAAATTGGTGTAATGAAATTATATGAATAGGTGAAAGAGTAAAATAAATTAAGCGACATTGACCTAAACTATATTATGAATTAGTGGTATAAGAACATGATATAAAATAGGCAATAAGAATCTATGTGTTAAATGATAAATATGAACTTATTAGAATAAGAGATAAGATATGTAACTATGAGTATTGAATACGTATCTATGTGATATGACCTATGAGATCATATGAAATATTATATGACTATGTGAATCATATGAAAATGTTATACGTGTAAGTGAACCATGTGTCTATATGTATATGTAATATGTGATTTATATGACAATGAGCTATGTGAAAGAACTATGAGCCTATGTGTATATGTGAATGATATGATAAGAAGATATGAGTTTATGTGATGTATGAGAAACATATGTGAACAAAAGATGGCAATGATATATATGTTATATGAACACAAGAGAAATATTATAAGCTAAGTGATATATGATTATGAAATCATATGAAAAGTGAAAAATACATGTGAATATGTGAAATGATATGAAAGAGAATGCCCATGTAAGTGTCAGGAGAGCTAGAGGTATAGTTGGCATGCCAAGAGTCAAGGATCTACGCGGTCTTTCGGGACATACTCATAGGTCATTCGGGACATACTCACAGGTCCTTCGGGACATACTCACAGGTCCTTCAGGACATATTTCACATGCCACTCAGTGGGACTTATACGAGCTGTGGTGACAGCATATGTGCACAACCTCAATGTACTCGCATATCTTTAGTTCTCACTAGTATACATGGGCTAACAAAGAGATAATAATAAATATGTTACATGTAATGTATATACTTTGGTGATATGAATTGTATTATATGATTTATATAATGATGTGTGTATTGCTTGGTTAAATGAATCATATGTTGATTAAAGAATAGATACAAGAGGATATGATTATAAGATATAAATGATAAGAATATTGATAGTGGAATAAGATTAAAGATGGAAATAGTGTGTGATATATATATGTGTATAATACGCTGTATATAAATATATGTTATATTGTTTTGGTGTGGCATCATGAGATGATATGTTCATGCATTTTTAAATAATTAGAGTTCTTTTATAAGTTTAATGTCTCACTAATTCATAGACGTAGCATGTGATTGTTTCACATGTAAGTTATAGAAGCGATAAGAGAAGTTAAGAGGAGCAAGACAGGTCAGCATCTTCCTTACAAAGTTTCAGATCAGAAAAGAGATGATTTTGATGTATTTGGTTATTTTGAATATAATTGACATGTACTAATTGATTGAGTTGAACATGCTCTGATATGTTTTGTTAACAATTTGCTTTGATTAATGTAAAATATTCATTTTCATGAAATGTGAATTTGAACTTTTAAACAGTTTGTAAAAGAAAATGCTTTGAAAAGTCAATGTGACACCTCAGACTCGGATCCGGGTTGGGGTGTTATAGACTATCCCTTGGTTATATCTCTTTGTTTAGGGTTCTAAAACCCTAATATACTATCGATTTTGGCCATTGGATTAGGCTAGACCCAACGGTTGTCTCTTGGTTGCGTATATCCTCAGCTACAAAGCCCTAATCTAATCCAATCTGGAGTGTTATATTAGGCACAAATCTAATGGCTCCAGTGAGGTGGCGCTTTGGGAAATGATGAAAACCCTAGCTATTTGGGTTCTTCACACAGGCCTTCACATTGCAGGTCTAACTATGACTTGGACTTATATTCTGGATCGAATTGGACCTAAATAAACCAAATTAAAAATCAATAATAAAATAAAATAACAATAAAAATAACAATAAATATACCAAAATCAGTTATAAACTATGTTTTCCAAAACTATATAATATAATATAATATATTTTTTTCAATTTATTTTCAATTTATTTTCAAAACTATATACTATTTTCAAAATGTTTTTCAAAACTATATAATATATAATATTTTTCAAATTATTTACAAAACTAAATATTATTTTCAAAACGTTTTCCAAAACAATATAATATATAATATTTTCCAAAATATTTTCAAAACTATATACTCTTTTCAAAATGTTTTCCAAAACTATATAATATATAACATTTTTAAATTATTTTCAAA